TTATAAAAAATGTATTAATTTTCAAAAATACATAGTTCAACGATGTGAGTTCTAATGTAAACTATATTATTTAAATATTTTTAAACGAAATGTCGATTTTTGAACTTTAAAGAAATATCAGTTTGTTTATTTTATTTACTCAACACTTGCTTTTATCAGCAAATATCAAACGCAGATAAATGTTTAAGAATATTTATGTGATATTCTATACATAAAATCCTTTTAGTATAACGAAATCCATATTTATATAGCATTTAGCAATTCGAATAGAAAAAAGCACATTACAACGGTCGTATGCTAATTAAAAACGGTATTTTTATAAAAACAAACCGTTTTGAAAAGGCTGTTGAAAGAAAACTTAATGTGTAAAAGAAAAAGAGTCAAAGTAAAAAAACCATTATACATTATGTATATCAAAAAGATAAATATTTTACAAGATTTATTTTTACTGTTTGATTACGATTTATACGATTGATAAAAATAAATAAATTCTGAAATGATATACTTTTGATATTATACTCCTAATGACTACTACAACGGAGTCGTTTCATAATACATAATATTATATATTATTATAGTATAATACCATTTTATAGAATGAATTTCAAAACTTTATTGACATTGTCCTATTCCTATATCGGTCACAATAATAACTAGGCCCGGCAAATCACCATTATAATGTAATTACTGTGTTTTTATACCAATGAGTAGGAACTATAATATTATCGTGTGACGAGTATATATATATATAGATATAGGTGTATAAGTAGTACCTATATAGCTATTCCAAACCGTTGGTTATTGCAGATTTGGGATCGTTATAATAATATCGATCGAAATATTTACGTGTCAATATCATATAATTACACTTGATGTATATATTATTTGACCCGATGGGTTCATATATATGTATATATTATATAGGTACATTATTAATATGCGTATCTATATGGTATAGGTAGGTATATAATATATCTATAACGAGCACGATTTCGGTTCTTTTCTTCGTTTGATGTACGCGTATCAGAACATTATGGTTCGTTTGTGTATATAATAATACACACTATAATACCTGTGTACAGTGTGCATTGTGCGACTATTGGGCGGACGCCGCATATAATAGCCACAAGGACGGGCAGCAAATCTAATAACCGCGATTGTGTTGCGACCAATAATAATCAGGTCGGCGAAGTGCTGCTGCTGCCGTCGTTTAATAATTATATATATTATTATTACAGTATATATGTAATACAATATACATATTATATAAATATATATATATATATAATACCTTCACCCGTCCGCGTAATGCCGCTTATTGTTGTCGCCGACCACGAGGAAAACGCGTAGGGAAAATATATAATCGAAGAGTGCGTATATAGAAGTTATAGTAGCTACTGTGTATTCGGGTGTATAATGTTTATAATGTATGCATAATACGCATATACGTACTGGAAGTATTAATCTGCATAATATACCACGCCGTGTCCACACGTGTGCTACTTAGGGGGTGGTTGGGGAAACTTAGCCCCACAAATGTATTGAGGGATAATAAGTGAATAAGTCACGAAAAGTGTTTTCTTCAATGAGGCATTGTACTAACTTATTTTTTCAAATTAAAGTCAACTCTTTTCACTACAAATTATTAAGGCGATTTGGTACTTGTACAAATCTATATAATTAAAAAAATGATCTTGTTTGAAAATTCTAATAATCAGAATTTGAATAAATGTATTATTAAAGGAAAAATGGGGGTGTGCGCATCCTTGGGCATATTATGAGCGCAACAGCATCAAACCTAAAAAAATATTTGGTCCTAGTTCGGCCTTTGTAAGCGTCTATATAGGTTTAAGAAGTATCTTAGTTGGAAACTTGGAAATTGTTTTTTTTTTGGGTGGGGGGGCGCTTGATGAGCGTTTAGTCACCTCAAATAATTTACGCATTATATATATATTATCAATGTTTTATATGTTTTAAAACTATTTTGGATTGATTATAACTTATACTATTGCCTCAAATAACAGAGGTAGTATTAAGATAATATACCTTTAGAATTTGCAAATTTAGTGCACGCTCGCAAACTAAAAAAATGATTTGGGGAGGCTAACTTCATGCAGCCCCACCACTTTGTCCGATCCGTTCCAAACCAACGGCAATATTTAGCAAATTAATTGCAAATCGGTTTTTAGAATTTGAAAATTAAAATTGGAATTTTGGCGAATTTTTTTACAAATTTGGTCAGCCCCGCCAATTCATCCGATCCGTTCCAAACCAACGGCAATATTTAGCAAATTAATTGCAAATAATTGCAAATCGATTTTTAGAATTTGCAAATTAAAATTGGAATTTTGGCGAATTTTTTTACAAATTTGGTCAGCCCCACCAATTCGGATGAAATATTAGCTGATCCCGTGCACTTCTTTGCCCATTAAAAATACCAACGCTATATAAAATTAATAATATGTTTTTTTGTATAATATAACGGTTACCATAACAACAATTTGAAACCAATTATTATTATTATTATAGCTTTGAAACCCACGGCAACCATGCATATACCATGTATAAACAAAAATTTCCATCGGAAATCTCAAAATCCCTGTTTGAGCACGTCCCGGTGTTGGTCCTCTCCCTTTTTAAATTAGATTATCTTCTGCCCAGAGGTCTAATCTATCTATATATATAAAAATATTTGTCCCGTGCACTACGTTGCCCATTAAAATTGACAACTCTATATGAATAATATGTTATACATATCACCATGGCAACCATTTATATACAAAACATTCCATCGGAAAATTCAAAATAATATTTAATTGGTTGCAGAAGATAAACTAATTTAAAAAGGGAGAGGACCAACACCGACGTCACTCAGAAATTATTGTCACAATGATACATTTTTTCTAATAATTGATAGTTTGAATATATTTATATTTAGACGTATGCGGCCATGCGGGGACGTACACATTGTATGTAGGTATGTTTGTTTGTGTGAGTGTATAACAATAATAATAATGAGTATCGTAATCCCGTATAGTTTTATTTCTAAAATCTAAAATTAATACAAATTCTAAAAACAACAACTGATTGGCACTCTTATTAATTATTATCATTGTCCATTGATACCAGACTTCATACGCAGTTAACTTACGAGTTGCGACAGTCGTGTATGGTAAATTATTCAACTATTCTGCGTATTGTGTTGTGTACACAGGGCCGGGTTGGACAAATTCGGCCCACCGAGTTTTCCGTACTTTACCAACCCACTTTAAAACTGGCGGCACTTGGGTACGCTCTTATTCCGTGCATAGTTATTTTATTTTATAGTCTCCATTTCTTCAACTTTTAACTCTTAACATATTTTTAGTCAATGCGGCCCCTCATGACTTGAACGGCCCAAAATTGTCGCGTCCCGCTGAGTTTTACATCGGTAACTCGCCGGGGCAATCTGGCCCTGTAGTGTACCTTATCCTACCTAAATTAAAATTTATTTTTTCGTGACGCGTGTTTACATTAATCTTTCAATTTGAGCAAAATATGACTTAAAAAAAAGTAAATGGGTGGTGCGGTTAAAAATATAAAATTACCGCAAACCGCTCAAGAATCGAAAACAATTTCTGGTATGTTTAATAAAAATACAAAACTTAAACCAGTAAGCACTAAGCAAGCAATAAAAAAAATAAATATTATAATTTAAAATAATATTAATTTGAAAATATATCGTATACATATAGTCATATAGAGTAGGTATAGGTGATAAGTGATGAATCAGGTAAAATTGATTTATAGATGATGCAGTTGATATATTTTCATAAAATAAAAAAAAAAGAAGATATCCTTTAATAAGCTACTTATATTTTTGTATATCAATAAATATTGCTATATTATGTTTGTAGACTTTTAAGTTTTAATTGATGTAGGTGTACAATTGTTTTTTATAAAATATCTGCCACCTTCTATTTAAAAATGATATTAGCCATTAGGTACCTAGTTAATAAAAAGGGTTGCATAAAATAATGTAGATAATGTAACGAGCGAAGCGAGCGGTTTTTTTTTTTACCTATTCGGGCCGGTCAAAACCTTTGCCCCCCTCTATTGAAAACTGAAATGACGCCACTGGCTCAAACAGGGATTTTGAGATTTCCGATGGAAATTTTTGTTTATACATGGTATATGGTTGCCGTGGGTTTTAAAGCTATAATAATAATAATAATAATTGGTTTCAAATTGTTGTTATGGTAACCGTTATATTATACAAAAAAACATATTATTAATTTTATAGCGTTGGTATTTTTAATGGGCAAAGAAGTGCACGGGATCAGCTAATATTTCATAAAATAATAAATTAATATTTATAAAAAAATCTATACTTGATAAAAAATCTTATTCTATATTTCTATTTTAATCTATGTGTATTAATTTTCCAAATTTTAAGAATCAATTTGCAATTTATTTGCTAAATATTGGCGTTGGTTTGGAACGGATCGGACAAAGTGGAGGGGCAGACCAAATTTGCAAAAAAATTCGCCAAAATTCCAATTTTAATTTGCAAGTTTTAATAATCAATTTGCAATTATTTGCAATTAATTTGCTAAATATTGGCGTTGGTTTGAAGTGAATCCGTAAAAGTGGGGGGGGGGCTAACTTCATGGTCATCTCTTTTCTACATTGAAAGTTATACAAAAAAAATGAAACAAATTTTATTTTTTCAAAAACTGGTACCCACCAGGTTAGTTTTATATTTGGTCAAAACCACCCAAAATGTTAAAAATATGAGTAGCTTATATATTTTAAGGTTCATATAGCTTAGGAATTTGTAAGTTCACTGGAATTATTTGATTTGTCCCGGCCAACCCCATATGGCAGGGATTGATAGTATTTATAAGATACAAAATACAATATTATAATAAGATGTAACATATTGTGGGTGGGAATTATTGTTTCAGATAGCTACAGGTGCGACGTACACACAGACCGCAAACGGCCATCCGGTGGTGTTGATGCCGGACAACGTGGGACCTCCGAAATCCTGTCCCGGAAAGATAGATTTTCGGAAACCTCGGAGACGTAGGCACTATGCCACATTGCGTCGTCATCGGACGTCGTTCGACCTGACGAATCAAGTGATCGTTTACTTCGACCCCGACGGCAGCGGGAGATGTGAAGTGGTTGGAGGTGGTGGCACTACTGCAGGCTACGGCGGCGGTGGCGACCAGCAGTCCTCGGAGGTACAAAAGTCTGTGGACGCGAACCGCAAGGGCCGGCCCAAAGGATCGAAGAACAAGTCCCCGACATCGTCTTCGTCGCCGTCACTATCCGGCTCGTTCAACTACCGCTCCAAGAAAAAGTCACTGACGTACACGTTCGCTGGCCCGGTCAAGTGCAAATCATGCGATCGCACGTTCGACGGCGACCCTGTGGCCCACTGTCTGGAGCATCACAGGTCCGTGTGTCCTATTTGCGGCCGCACGTACCGGCCACCGTTGAACACGCACATCAAATCGCACGGGACCCGACACGTTTTGCTGACCGTTTCGTGTTACGAGTGTTACGTGTGCAAGGAGAAGTTCGGAAACGCGCAGACCATGGCCGAACACTTGCGGACCGAACACCAAGATGTCACCGCCGCTGGCGAGTGTTCGCTGTGTGGCGAAACCACCACCGCGTTCGTGACCGTCGAAGCAGCCATCGACCACCTAGTGGACGCGCACTGTCCGCGCAAGAAGTTTAGCCACCCAACCGTGTATCGGTGTCGGGTGTGTCTGGCCGGGTTCAAGAGCCAGATCAACGTGCTGCGGCACGCGTGCAACAAGATCAAGTCACCGCATTGCGCACAGTGTGAAAAGACGTTCCCGTCCAAGATGCGGTACGCGTTCCACCTGCAGTTCCACGAGCACCCAAAGTGGGCGACCATGCACTTGCACTGCGACCTATGCCTGGCCGAGTTCGACGACGAGTACCAGCTGTACGATCACATCCGGTTCCGACACGAGCTGCACGACAAGGCGGTGTGCGAGGTGTGTGGCCGGACGTTCAAGTCGTCAATGGGCCTAAACATCCACCGCCGGTATCACAACGGGTCCCGGGACTTTGCGTGCGGATCGTGCGACAAGTCGTTCCTGAACAAATCCACGCTTAGGGAGCACGAGATCTCGCACATGGACGTCAAGCCGTTCCAATGTCACATATGCGGCCAGTACCTGAGTCGCGCGTCCAGGCTCCGGTCACACGTCAAGACTCACCGAGCCGCCGAGTCGACCGACCAGCTGTGCTACTGCTGCAGCCAGTGTGGTTACGTGGCACCTAACCCGACCGCGGTCACCGAACACGTCGGCAAGCAGCACTGCGATGAAACTGTAAATAACGAATGTTACGCACTACAACTGTCGTCGGTGGTCAAGTGCGAGTACTGTGACTCGACGTACCTAAACTCGGTACACCTGAACAGCCACCGAGAAGCGGAGCACGTGGGTGGAGGGGCAGGCAACGCCGAACCATTCATCTGCGTGGTGTGTTCGTCCACGTTCAGTACGTACTCCAGGTTGACCACGCACAAGCTAACGCATGGAATCAATATGGAGTCCACCTGTGGCGTGCCCGTTCAGCAGCAGCAAACTGAACAGGACGATCTCAATCAGCCTGCAGACTTCCTGGACGACTCGGTGTCGGATAAGTTTGAAATCCCACAGTTTTTCTCCTGCGAGTACTGCTCCAAGATGTGCTTGCACTACACGTACTTTTGCCTACACCGGCGACTCAAACATCCACCCGGAGTGCAGACGCACACGTGCGAAAAGTGCTCAGTGGACTTTAAAACGTCCTGGAGACTGTCGTACCACAGAAAAACCGTACACGGACAACAGACAGACGAAAAGCCGGCTGAGAAGTTCAACTGTACCGTATGCTCTCGGCAGTTCGTCAAGATCGGCGCCCTCAACTTGCACAAGACCCGCACGCACATCGACGTGGTCGGCGACGTGTGCAAGTACCTGTGCCATCTGTGTGGCAAGTTTTTCAGCTCAGAGTTTTCGCTCAGGGCGCACGTCAAGACGCACGAATTCAGCGTTGGCGGTGTGCCCGCACCAGTACAGATGCCACTACTCGGCGGCTGCATCGGCAACGACGATCGCTCTCTCGTCGACAACCACAGCTACTGCTCCGAACCCTCCTCGATGGCACCGCCGCAGACGGTACATATCTGGCCGAATCACCGGCGCCGCACTTACCGGAAACCGATCTCCACCTCCTCTGCCGCCTGTTTGACGTCGCCGGTCAAGAAATCGTGTCCGTACTGCACTCTGACGACCGATGACGAGGCGGCGTTCATCGAGCACGTCAACGGTCATATCGGGTACTGCAATCCCGTATTGCCGGCGGGCACCGTTTGTGAGCTGTGCGAAGCGAGTTTCGGTGACTCTAAGCAACTCAAGTACCACCTAGACGACCACGTGAAAGCGAACCAAGCTCTCCTGTGCCAGGCGTGCTACTCGCCGTTCCTGTCGTCGGCCGCGCGCGCCGTCCACGTTGCCAAGGAATGTCCGTCCACGACGATGCTGGTCGACTACACATCTACCGGTACTGCCGTCCCTCCACGAGTAGAGTCCATAGGCCCGTCCACCCCACCTGAAGTCAAGTCTGTCAGCCCATTCACCCTACCCGAAGTCAAGTCTGTCAGCCCATCAACCCAACCACCCGATGTCAAGTTTGTCAGCCTCCCCGTCTCTACGCCCGATGTCAAATTTGTCGGCCTCCCCGTCTCTACGCCCGATGTCAAATTTGTCGGCCTCCCCGTCTCTACGCCCGATGTCAAGTTTGTCGGCCTGTCCGACACCCCGCAGTCCGACGCCCGTCCTGCACTGATCGTCGACTGTTCGGAGATATTCAGTGACTGCAAGGGCATAACCGACGATAGATCATCGTCCCGGAAATCGGACGAATTTCCGGTCGAGCCAAACGCCGACGACAAAGGATCACTGGAATTTTCCGTGCTCGACGAGCTCTTGTCCATCATGTCCACGCCGCGCACGTTGGTCGCCCTGGATTCGATCGACTACCAACCACCGGACGACATGTCGTTGGACGCGATTTTCGACAGCATCTCCACTGCCGTAGACTGACATATCAATAATGTTATTATTATCATACAGAATTACGCAGTTCGCGATTCCCTGCTTTCAGCCACCGCTTGACGTGTTCTTTTCCGAATTTTACAGCACACGTAATCCAGTTTTCGCTGCTTGTTTACGTTATTTATTTTATGAGCACGTTTTTTACCCTCATGTTTTTTTTTACAATGAGATTTTCCAAACATTTGTTAATTTTTTATCGGCTGCCATAAAAAGCAAACGATATTATACTATTGTACTATACCTATATCAATATATTGTTATTATTGTTACCAACGTTTGGGCATTATTATAATATAGTTGTTGAATTTTATTTTTGTCTCAATGTCATATTATATTACGTAATATTATATTGTTCCGATTCACATAAACCACATTATTATATTATATTATTATTATATCCGTAAAAATTAATTACAGTGATTGTTCTGTGTATTTTATTGATTTTTTTTCGTCATTACATATTAGTATTCACATAATCACATAATATACAATAAGTGCACATCGAGTCGATGGAAAATGTCCGACATTTCTTTGGAGAAATTAATTAATACCTACCAACTCGAAATGGAAAAAAAAACATATTTCCTTCGAAATTCAATTTTATAATCAACTACCATATACATTATAGTTGCGTTATTTATTAAACGTGGATTTACATGTGCATTCGAGATAACTTATATACCTTATAAGTTATTATATGTAACCTATATACCCCGCACATTCATCAACAACACAATTATTGTTATTAATACAAATTAGTGGATGTCATATACTCTATGTAGTGTGTACAACAGGAGAGTATCATTGTGGTATACACTAAGTATATATTATTATATTATATACTTTGTACACGGCTAGTATGTATAATAATAATGGGTAGGTAGTGGGCGAATTCGTATTAATTTACTTGCACAACAACTTTGGCACACGTAATTTAGCCATTGTCATACGCGACGCACAGGTACCATTATAATATTATTATGTATACACATACAAGAGCATAATATATATATATATATATGAAGTCGGTTGGTCACGGCCAATTTTAAAATATAACTCTGTTGTTTATTTAAATTTCAAATCTTGGCAGCGAAAGTGTATACGTACAATTTTTAAATCAAGAATGCCACTGTACATACCTATACAGACGTAATATTCACGCCAACTGCAGTGTGCATTTGTAACTACAATAAATTGTGATTTATGAGCGATATATGTGACTATATTATACTATAGGTACCTGTAAAAAATAAATTAATACGTACACACTAGAAAATCGTTTATAGGCCTTAGTGCAGGTACGCGTGTTAAAATAATAATAAATGCAACCCGCGGCAAATAAATTATTATAATATTGTGCATAAAAAAACGCGTTCAAATATTGAAAATTGCTATGGAAAAACATTACGTTTTATATTGAACGTGGGATACTATGGTTAAAGGTATAATACTCGCGTAGGTAGCAGGTACCTTAACTGAATAATAATAAGTAATAGAAGAATAAAATATTTATAATATATATAAATATTAAATATATTTATATATATATATCGTATATTGTGTGGGTACCTAACGAATAGGAGGAAGTCGCCGAGTTGCGATTGGATTTCAACGAAATATAACCATAATATTATGATTGATATCATTTATTTCTGCAGTAGTTGCTTATTGATTGTCTTTGTTTTCTGTGCATATTATTAAATTGACGTATACTGTTATAATTTATTGTTGTATAATATACTTGAAAATCCAATACTGACAGCATAATATAGTTTATTGTTATTGTTACATATAGGTAATAGGTATATAATACACGTGGACAATATATATATATATATATATATGAACGATTTACTCCACATAATATCAATCGGAAAACACATTAAAACGTATATCATATACCCAAAATGGATTATTATATTATCGATTTATAGCATTTACGCGTTTATCATAAAGAAGTTAGGTTTTTATCATTTTACTTTTATATCACCGGGATAATGTTCTTGAATTTTGGACCAATTATTATAATATCTTATTCCGTGATTCAAATCTGCTTTTTTAACTGATTCCAAGGCTACCGACTAAATGGAACTTAAAGAAACTACTTTGTATACATTTTACATTTTTCCCCTAATCGGGCTTTTGTACCCACACATGTCATTTTTTTTATATATACTTTTCTAGTCTTACATATTTAACAACATCTCGTATACCCACTAAAAACGTATTTTTAAACTATAGTATAACTCAATAGTGTTGAAGGAATTATAACGATAACTTTTTGAAAATGAAAACTAATTGTGTGTAAAAACCGACACTTACAAATGTAGTAATAGTAACAATATTATCATCTGATTTCAATTTCATTTTTTAACATTTAAGATTTATGTGAGCAAAAGTATTAAGCACTATTAGCCGCCCCTCCCCACAAAAAAAAAAATCGCGTTCACGCCACTGCGGTCTTGTATGTGTTTACTCGAGTAGGTACCTAAATGATATACAATATTGAGCTCGCATTATATGAAATATTTTTTTAGTATTTTAGTAGCTAATGCGTCTATGTTTGATGAACATATTGTTACATTCGATACGTTATAAGTAGGTGATATAATATAATATAATATACAAATTGTATATAGGCACACAGAAGACTATGTATAGGTACCTACACTAGAACTATACGATATATAAGATAAACTATTATATAGTCTATTTAGAACAACGTGCTACAATATATGGTACCTATTTACATTTGAAGACTGTATTATGGTCGCTTTGAACAGACGACTAAAATTTATAAGTCAAGGTAGCAGCACCACACTCGAAACGAATTATTCCGTAAAGAATAGGTATTTAGGCGCGGCCCCGCGGGTAGAGTGACAAAAACAAATCGATTTCGGACACTATTTGTTCAGAGCTGACTTACTCGCCCAGACTCGTGTAATACATAGATATAGGTACTGCTATAATATACACATATATAATATATATATATGTACACAAGGTGATCCGTTTATAGTAGTTCTCCGTTCATTCTCTCACCCGATGTTTGTGAATTTGAAAAAAAAGTGTTTATATGCGGTTTCAAGTATTTAAGAGTTAAGACAACGACTTACTTTTTCTCAAGTAAATCTAATTTTTCATAGCGGTGACTTCGGTGTTTTTAAATGGGGACCATTTATATTCTTTAATTAATGAGTATTTTATAGCAAAGCAAAATATTATGTAGCTATATACCTAATACTGAATATCGAATAAGAAACGAATGGTATATTTTAACCGAGTGGTATAGAACTGTATTGGATGTCACAGGGAACAACCAAACTAGTTGTCTATAAGCTTTACATCATTATAAATAAAAAAAAAACTTTTAGTACATCGAAATATTTAGTACAACCTTCAACCGTGAATTTTGAAACTGAAAATAAAATGTTGTAGGTAGATAGTAATAAAAGTTTAAAAAATCCTAATTAAAAATTATACATATATTTTTCAAGCTTAAAGTGCAGTTTATAATACTGTTTGACAATCCCTTCAAACAAATTTACCTATATTTATAATTAGTGATTTGCATTTAAAACAATCAACCTGTAGACGCAGGTCAATTGTACCTATTTATATTGTGTTATCAATTTTTCGGAAAAACTCTTGATATCTCTGCCCAAAAATATGTAAACAATCGCATATTCGCAATTGCCACTTTCTTTGGTCATTGGTTATAGGTGCTCAGGTACATTGTTCGTAAGTACAACGTACCTATACAATTGTGAACACATACACATACACACACACAGCCTCGTAATGAGAAGGTGTAACTACTATTACATTGTGATAGTCATTTTTCGGTGGTACGAATTCGAGTCCTAGATAAATATTGGAATGTGTGCCGAGTACTTATGCATAAAATATATAGATTTCTGCATAAGGTGTCGGTACATATTTACATTTTATAATAATTAATAGGTTTATTGCTTATATATTGCAAATATTAAGTCTATATATAGCTTCTGATTTTATTATTATATAATATAGTCTGTTCAATATTGTCACTGTCGGTAGAGTGATTTTATGAACCCGTAACCATTGCTGTCTCTGCAGTTAGGACTGGTTTTTGAATATCTACTTAAGCTAAAGCTTAAGGCTAAGTGAAGATTTACCATAATTTTCTGGATTTCAATCAAAGTTTAAGTATATCTTAGCTTTACGTAGCTTCGGTTTATCTTAGGCAACGCTCTAAGTAGGTATAGTTAACGACTAATGAGTTAACATGTTAATTTTTTTCTTACATAAGTGCTGGTCGGAACTGTTAATGATCAATTTCATAATTATTTTGCTTGTTTTTTTAATTTTGTGGTAGAAGGATTTCCGTTCGAATTTCAAAACTCAGCTAGACAATATCAGTTTTAACTAGGAAAAATACGGCAAGCCACGTTTCAAGTGACATTTATGAAAGTACCTACCTAATTTATTTCATTAAAATATGTTTTTTTTTTCACAAATTACAAACAGACCTAGGTTTAATATTATTATAACATGAGACATATACAAAACAGTTCAAATATACAAATTAAATTCAAATTTAAAAATTCAAAATTATCACTATAGTTAATACGATAGTATAATGATAATATCATGCCGGTTAGTCTTACAAAATAGGTACAATGTATAGCACCATAGCCAAGTGGATGACTTAAATTTTTGTTTGAAGTTTTATTTGAGACGAATCAGCGGAAATGTAGCCATTCGAATACTTATAGAATATTTTTTTAATGATTTGTTCACGAATTCAAAATCTATAACGTGTTTGAGATATTTTTACATTAATTCATCAATCGTTTGTGTTATTTGCGGTAATTTATCATTGGCATGATCAGTTGAATAATCTTCTCAAAATAAAACCGCCACTGTCATTGTAGTACTTGCAAAACATAATAGTTCATTGTTTTTAAAAAGATGCCATTATCAGAAAATGTATAGTAGAGTATAGG